GGTCACTTGTGTGATCACTGCATATTAAAGGAATGGAATCCTAAGAAAGGTTAAAGAAATGGCTAAATTCGAGTTTAGAAAGAAGTATACAGCTATTAATTATGACATGCATTGCCTTTATCAATACGCAATATTAGACAGTTATACATATTATTCCTGTGCTAAAATGTTTGGATGACACGTTTTGTGCATTCCATGACTAGTCCACGTGGCTATATTGCCGATAAACAAACCTCTGTTATATTGATTTGATCACAACGGCGTATCGATAATAACCTTATATGCAGTGTATGGATCGATGTTGTTTTGACCTGGATCAGGGTTACACAGAAAGTCTCACCTCAAATTGTATTTCACTTGATATATTTAATGGGAATGAAAAAAAGACACATACTCATGAATAATTTGTATAGATGCAGACAATTTAAACGTATGCAGTTGTGCCTATCACAAAATTATCTTGGAAAACAACAATGTGTGCATTGCCAAACGTGTATTAGAAAACACAATAATGTACGCATGGACCAGACAAACCCATATTGGATACCACAACAATGTATGCATGGACCAGACAAACCTGTATTGGATAACACAACAATGCATGCATGGACCAGACAAACCTTTATTGGATAACACAACAATGCATGCATGGACCAGACAAACCTGTTTTGGATAACACAACAATGCATGCATGGACCAGACAAACCTGTATTGGATAACACAACAATGCATGCATGGACCAGACAAACCTGTTTTGGATAACACAACAATGCATGCATGGACCAGACAAACCTGTTTTGGATAACACAACAATGCATGCATGGACCAGACAAACCTGTATTGGATAACACAACAATGCATGCATGGACCAGACAAACCTGTTTTGGATAACACAACAATGCATGCATGGACCAGACAAACCTGTGTTGGCTAAAACCACAGTGTATGCATGGACCAGACAAACATGTATTGGATAACACAACAATGTATGCATGGACCAGACAAACCTGTGTTGGATAACACCACAGTGCATGCATGGACCAGACAAACCTTTATTGGATAACACAACAGTGCATGCATGGACCAGACAAACCTGTATTGTATAATACAACAGTGTATGCATGGACAAGACAAACCTGTATTGGATAATACAACAGTGTATGCATGGACCAGACAAACCTGTATTGGATAACACAACAATGTATGCATGGACAAGACAAACCTGTATTGGATAATACAACAGTGTATGCATGGACCAGACAAACATGTATTGGATAACACAACAATGTATGCATGGACCAGACAAACATGTATTGGATAACACAACAGTGCATGCATGGACCAGACAAACCTGTATTGGATAACACAACAATGCATGCATGGACCAGACAAACCTTTATTGGATAACACAACAGTGTATGCATGGACCAGACAAACCTGTATTGGATAATACAACAGTGTATGCATGGACCAGACAAACCTGTATTGGATAACACAACAGTGTATGCATGGACCAGACAAACCTGTATTGGATAATACAACAGTGTATGCATGGATCAGACAAACCTTTATTGGATAACACAACGATGCATGCATGGACCAGACAAATCTGTATTGGATAACAAAACAATGTATGCATGGACCAGACAAACCTGTGTTGGATAACACAATAATGTATGCATCGACCAGACGAACCTGTATTGGAAAACAAAACAATGTATGCATGGACCAGACAAACCTTTATTGGATAATACAACAATGTATGCATGGACCAGACAAATCTGTATTGGATAACAAAACAATGTATGCATGGACCAGACAAACCTGTATTGGAAAACACAACAGACAAAGTTCGAAGGTTAAAAATTATAGAAAGTAAATACTTCATATATATCGTCGGTCGTGTATATAAACAGGTGGGATAACCTACAAGAGTTTCCTTAGATTGTTCAGTTGCTGTATATCCCCATACAGATTTCACAATTGCTTTATACCCAGCTTTTCCAACAATTATGCAATACATTACGCATTTCCATTTCCTATATAACCAGTTATCCTTAAGGGATCACGCCTCGTCCGTTTCTATACAACATACTATACAGTATTGTCTCTATGTCCATACTAAGTGGCCATTTTAACCACCCAATATCCATTCAGGGCATTTGTGGGGAAATTGATGAAATATTCTACCCTGAAATGCGCCTGTTACTGAGGTGCTAACTTCAGGTGATTCTGTGTTATTATGATTATTGTTTTACTTCTTCAACAACACTATAGTTACACATATTCAAGGAGAGCGAATATATGTTGTCGAATAATAACCTACATACAAATGAACAAATATTACCGGTGGCTCTATTTTTCACTGTCTTACATTAGACGATCTATTTAATTTAAATGTATTTAAATACATTTTTCAACCTGATTCAATACAGGTGTGACAAACCTGCCTTAAAATACACGTTTCATGTTTAGTTAGACATAACACAGTATATCTAATTACCAAACTAACGGTCACCAAGAACAGATGATTCAAGGGAGATAACTCTGTAAACCTGATTGCTCTATCAGTATATCTGTGTGACCCGGAGCATCCAACACTATCACACACTAGTCGTGTTTTGTGGGCTGAAAGTAACTCTGTTTATAAATACTTTATGCATAACGTTATGATAATCAGGTTAAGTTTTATGGTTTAAAAAAGTTCTGTGTTTGTATAAATATCACCTTTACCTAATGACATAAGACACATTAATGCACTTCTGGTTTGAAGACAAGCGTCAGGGACACACGGCAATGGCGGATGCAGATTTGGGTTGGTGGGGTCAGAGGTTGAGTCCTCGACCGAGTATTATTATACATAGGTATTTTGTAGTGCATCCCCACCTACTCCCTTTAAACAAATCCTGGATGCTGGGATATGCATACTTGTTGCTCTGAATCTGAAATGAATAAGTTTCAAGAAATGGAGGCTATACACTTTCAAAAAGACCAAGAACTCCTGATAAGCTGCGTATTAGTGTAAACTTACATCACTATGCATATCCCAAATAATTTGGAGTTGCTTGCGTGTGAATATGCATGATATATTTTTTTAAACGAATAGTATAACGCTGAGCGTAATTACCCAATGTAACATTTCCAGCTTGCGTATCCGGAAATCTTATTTACTATTGTGTATAGGCCTATTCGTAAACTCTGATGCGCTTAATCATTCACAAAAGGTATACTCTCATCAATCACTTTAAAGGTTTAATTATGCATCATGAAAATATGTCACAGTTCATTTGTTTGTTTTTTCATTACTTAACTAAAATTATGGTAATAAAAAACAGAACTCGATTCGTTTTTGACATTATGAAAAATACAAAACACGTTGGAAGCTTATGGGTTTTGAAACTGTTTCATAATATAATTTTAAATAAAGGATAACATTATCTCGATAGATAGATAGATAGATAGATAGATAGATAGATAGATAGATAGATATTTATTTAGTGACAACGCGATGTCAGTAATCATATATCAAATACTTCCCATGGAAAGAAGAATGCAAATTAATGCAATGTGGTCCGTTGAGCCGGTAATAACGTGTACTTTGACAGCACTTACATGTGAACAAATTATTACTGTCATTTGTAACTTTAACTGAAACATTCAAAGCAGAGTTGCACGTGTCATCGTATTCTCCTGTGCAGCATACAACGTGTAGGTAGGTATATCGTGGCCTTTCTGTTCAAAGCTATGTCATTTCAGTGTGGAATTTTATCCAGCGGACAAAGTCTGCTTCCTCATCCTCCTATTGTCATAACACAGCTACACGTTTGTTATTAATAGAAAAGATGCATCGTTATTTCTGTCCCCTTTCCCACAACATGTCGTAAATATAGACACTTGTTGGGGATAGGATGCAACAACAAAAACTAATTATAGGAAGACTGGACTCGGGACCATGGGCAGTCCCATGCAGCAAATTGAATGAAAACCCCGTTTTGTTACTCAAGTTACTCTAATTACTCAAGACAAAGTCAACGTACCAAACTACAACGGCATGGTCTATTCAGTAACAGCCCCCCCCCCCCCCCCCCCCCCCCCCCCAAAAAAAAAATAATACAAAAATAAATAAATATAAATAAATAAAAAATAAATGAATAAATAAATAAACAAATAAATAAATAAATAAATAAATAAATAAATAAATAAATAAATAAATAAATAAATAAATAAATAAAATGAAAGAAAGAAAAAAGTTACGTATATTTGTTCCCATAATTAGTCATACACTACTACATTTCCTCAACCAACCTATATGATTATAACATGAGCCGTATGCAACACAAATATTAGTAGTCAAGTAATTAGTATTTGAAACTTTACATGTGAAAGTATCACACAAGTTTACGTTTGGATCTAAAGCTTATTTTTATATTTCAATAAACATATGATCGGGGGGTATTATGTAGAATATAAATAATGTGTTCTCAATATAAGTGCGGTATGTTTCTTTTTGTGACTGAAATAAAAAAGACGGGGTTTTAAGATTATTTCAGATTTTAATAAAAGTCCATTTTAAGTATGAACCTCGCATAGAAATCATGCATAGAAAACTCAACTGTTTGAAGCGTCTTTATAAGTACCACAACAACACATATATAATTGCATAACTCCGATTTAATTAATATAAGCGCCCCGTACCTTAAATAAAGTTGAGCAATATAAAAAAAATATAACGTAAACAAACGATGACGAATTATCGGTTATTTGTGCAAATATTGATATAACTATGTCTAGAGCGTCTATGTCTATCTTCAGTGTTGATGCACGAACTACCTGGCATTCGACCTTTCTACTAATAATTTACTCATCCGGATAAAAAGTAATTAAAAAAATAACAGTTGTATACACCCATACGAAAAATTCACTGGTAGTCAAATAGCGGCCGATCATGCCGGCAATCCGTGTGATCGAATATTAGACCCTATTTGCGAAGCCTTCCCGGCATGCAATACCGCTCGCCCCACCCAATAAGTGTCTGTCATTTTGATGTGTGGTTGGCCTTGCTGTTTTCATGTCGGCGCTCAACGTACGACTATTTTCATGAAAAACCGGGAGGTTTACTGTCGAGGGGAGGGAAGCTAGGCCCGAGCGCCGGCAACAACGGGACGCGGGGTGATCAGACCTTTGGATTGTAATCTTCTGTCATTGGGTAGTGTGCCGAAATCGACGCTCGTGAGATTGAAGCCAGTTCCAAACTGGCGAAGGTAGCGACCGTTGTGTCAAGTATGGGTTGTTTTGGAAGGAAAGAAGATGAAGATGACAAAAATGCAAAAGAGGCGAACAAGAGAATTGAAAAACAATTACAGAAGGACAAACAGTTATACAGAGCGACGCATCGTCTTTTGTTGCTAGGTCAGTTCGGGGTGTAAAATGGGGCTTGCTGCACTCACCGATTTCACTCGACTGCCATTGGGGATTATTCTAATATTGCTTGTCTAATGAGCTGTAATTTATTTTATATTCTTCAGGTGCCGGTGAGTCAGGAAAGTCTACGATTGTGAAACAAATGAGGATATTACACGTTAATGGATTTGGACCAGAGTAAGTAGTATCGTGTTTATTTCGTCTCGCTTTCTTTTATTTATGTCGCTATGCTCTGTCTAGGAATGGACGAACCGTATTATGCATGCATGACCATTTCCAAACCTGGCCAAAAGGGGTGTAAGGTTGTGATCCATATCGTCTGTCTGGCGTCTGTCGATGTCGGTTTAGTGTTTTGAGCTCAAATATTGTTATTTTTGTATTTTCAGGGAACGTAAACAGAAAATTGAAGACATTAAAAGAAATGTCCGAGATGCGATTTTGGTAAGTGTCAACATACACCCAACCTATCACCCCTACAAATGTATCCCATCGCCCAATATGGCGGACAGCATGGTGTAAAGTTCTGGTTACCTAGCTTGCAGACCGTGGAATTTACCTGAAAATAATCATTAAATGTGGGGATTATGTTCCAGTATTATGATATAATATGCGATAAGATGTCATAGCGCACTGTCAGTGTGGCCAATGTGGAAATAAAGCCATGGTTGTTACGAAACTGCTTAATACAATGTTGCAAAAGAGTTAAAACATGCCATCACTATGTGGAAGAGTAACATATTACAACACGTCTCGAAGAATAAACAATCTGGTTGTTTAAATATTACGCTTTCATGCGGTCAGAATAAATGCTTTTTTAACATAAACAATTTCTCACATGTGCAGAAATTAATGTTGAGTATCGAAAGTATTTTGAGGTCCTAATATTGAATACAGGGCTTTGGTGCTTCAACAAACTATCAAGGCCATGTTATTTCCGACCAGGACATGCATGAATGACATGTTATGGCAGTGTTTGGCAAGTACGGTGATTCTATGTGTTATAACATACAGTCAAATGGTTGGGTTGATGGAAAACAATACATTCCATAGGGTACACATGTAGATTTCTCTAATTGATGTGACACGGGAGCAGTGTATGTGACATAATAAGCCTTTAGGAAGACAACGAAAACATTATGAGTCAGTGATCATTGTACAGACCTTCTGTCATCCTAATGTAAACAAAGTAGACAGAAAAGCTATCTTTAGTAACAGGTAGCTAAATGTTTTATGTCAACATTACGGAGCGAGGTTAAGAGTAAACTATTCCCACGACCAGTGCCTGTGATATTGTAAACAAATAGGCTTGTTTATAGGCAACAAGAGAATTGTGGCACTGGCTGATCCAGAAAGGGGTAGTTGCTGTTTTATGTTGAAATGTTTGTTTCAAGAGTTAGCTACCTTTCATAATTTCATTAAGAATACAGGGCACCTGAATAGAAAACTATCATTTGATTGTATAGGTAATAACACATGGAGGGGTATCAGGAATGGGGAGAAAGTGTTTAGGGGGTGGGGTCACTATGAGCCATAACTTGTGACATGTAAGGTGTCTGATAAATGATGTGGCTGGAGGAGGGAGAGAAAGTAAGGTCCCTGTACACACCCCACTGTATCCACCAGTGCCATGTTAAGAAGACATTTTGTTCAGTTGTTTATCTAAGGTTTTTTAATGATTGTTTGAAATAACTATCCCTTCTGAGTGTGAAACTTACAAAATACCTTGCATCCTCTGAGATACTCACTTGTGACAAACTGCACCTCAGGTTCTGAAAAAGGAGCGGTTTAGCTCAGTTCTGTATCAGTATACAGTGGTTGTGCATTTTTTTGAGGAGCTAGTCCTTGAAACTTCCGACCACATTTAAACACACTGTATCCGTTTGTCAACAGGAGTGTTTTGAGACTTAGATCTTGTAAGATTTAAGGTGATAAGGTATGTTATGTATCACAGATTTCCCTTTGAGACGATTATCATCTACATTGGGAAGTTCTCATTCAAATCCTAAATCTTTTGGATCTAGCGCTACAGGAAATTCATATTCAATTCTCCCTGTCAGTATTAGTTCATTTTTTGTAATTGTAGATGATAACAATTTTATAATTTTATGCTTCCTGTCATCTCAAAAATCCAGATTTTTAAAATCTAAAATACACAGGAATTAATAATTATCAATAAATAATCCAGATTTTTTAGATCTAAAATATACAGGAAGCAATCATGATCATCTCATTAAGAAATTCTAGCGATCTGAGTGGCCAGTCGCTGTCTTGTGCATTTCCAATCTAGTAGATTAGCCAGCTTGTGTAATGCATGATGTGACGTCACTTGCTTGTCAAGCCCCAATGACGATGTTCCCACTTTGAATTACCGAACTGAGAACCGATCGCAATTACATGAATGATCTAGTGTCACTCACTAATATTTCACTTAAATGTACTAATATTTTGTACCTTGTGACAAGTAATAATCTGTATGATATGACAAGCTGAACGTGTACAGCCCTCTACCGCTAGTCTCGTTGTGTACAAGTCTATTCAGCTTGAAAAATCCGAAATGTCCCACTAGTGACACATGAATCAAGCTGACCGCCTCCGTGGTCTAGTGGCAGAGTCCCCGCCCAGAGAGTGGAAGGTCTGGGGTTCAATCCAGGGCCGCATCATACCAAACGACGTTAAGAGATAGTACTTGTTGTTAAGGGGATAAAACAAGGACTGGTCGGCTCGGAATCAGTATGCTGTGTCTGAGTGTGGTATTCATGTGAAGCTGCAGTCTCAGAGTATGGCCACTCATCCGATTAGTTGCCTCTTACAAAGGCTGCTGGGGACCTGTTCTAACCTTAGTTAGGGGGACACATTCTAACCTGGAATCTCCACAGCTTCGGGACACATTCTAACCTGGAATCTCCACAAGTTGGGGGACACATTCTAACCTGGAATCTCCACAAGTTGGGGGGACACATTCTAACCTGGAATCTCCACAAGTTGGGGACACATTCTAAACTGGAATCTCCACAAGTTGGGGACACATTCTAACCTGGAATCTTCAAGTTGGGGAACACATTCTAACCTGGAATCTCCACAAGTTGGGGGACACATTCTAACCTGGAATCTCTATAAGTTGGGGACTCAAATGTACCTGGAATCTCCACAAGTTGGGCGCACACCCTAACCTGGAATCTTCAAGTTGGGGACAAATTCTAAGCTGGAATCTCCACAAGTTGGGGACACATTCTGAGCTCGAATCTCCACAAGTTGGGGGACACATTCTAATCTGGAATCTCCACAAGTTGGGGACACATTCTAACCTGGAATCCCCACAAATTGGGGAATATTTTCTAACCTGGAATCTCCACAGGTTGGGGGACACATTCTAACCTGGAATCTCAACAAGTTGGGCAACATATTCTAACCTGGAATCTTCACAAGTTGGGGACACATTCTAACCTGGAATCTCAACAGGTTGGGGGACACATTCTAACCTGGAATCTCCACAAGTTGGGGACACACCCTAACCTGGAATCTTCAAGTTGGGGACACATTCTGACCTGGAATCTCCACAAGATGGGGGACACATTCTAACCTGGAATCTCCACAAGTTGGGGACACATTCTAACCTGGAATCTCCACAAGTTGGGGACACATTCTAACCTGGAATCCCCACAAATTGGTGGGGAATATTTTCTAACCTGGAATCCCCACAACTTGGGGAATATTTTCTAACCTGGAATCTCCACAGGTTGGGGGACACATTCTGACCTGGAATCTCAACAGGTTGGGCAACATATTCTAACCTTGAATCTTCACAAGTTGGGGACACATTCTAACCTGGAATCTCAACAAGTTGGGAACACACTCTAACCTGGAATCTTCAAGTTGGGGGACACATTCTAACCTGGAATCTCCACAAGTTGGGAACACACTCTAACCTGGAATCTTCAAGTTTGGGGACACACTCTAACCTGGAATCTCCACAAGTTTGGGACTCATTCTAACCTGGAATCTCCAAGTGGGGGGACACATTCTGACCTGGAATCTCAAAGTGGGGCGACACATTCTGACCTGGAATCCAAGTGGGGGGACTCATTGTAACCTGGAATCTCAAAGTGGGGGGACACATTCTGACCTGGAATCTCCACAAGTTGGGGACACATTCTAACCTGGAATCTCCTCAAGTTGGGGACACATTCTAACCTGGAATCCCCACGGTTTGGGACAGAATATGGTACAATGTAGGATTCCACTGTTTTACACTCACTCACTCACTCACTCACTCACTCACTCACTCACTCACTCACTCACTCACTCACTCACTCACTCACTCACTCACTCACTCACAGATAACGTCACTGCTGATAGAATACACCTCCTGCCCTATCCCAATTGTGTTCGAAGGTCACTTCAGGATATGTTACGTTTCCGAGAGTATGAAGCAGATCATGACATACTGCTTTGTACAAGGTTGCAGAATTTTGATATATCCAAGGATATTAAACAAGAACCAATCATCTTTCAAGAAAGAACACTTTTCGATGCAGATTGTTGGTATATTAGATAACGCCAGTCTATCATGGTCTATGACCAGAATTTATAATCAGTTTCATCCTATAAAGCCAAAGTGTTTCACGCTGTAAGCCATGTCATGGCAGAGAATCCAGAACAATGTGTAAACAATACATATTGATAACACACAAAGGGTATTGTCTGTCTTTTATTGAGTTTATTATGGCAGAGCATTGGTAATTCATTCAGCCATATTGAGGAGGGGGTGATACCTAAGTACGATATACATGTACATAAGACGTTTCCAAATATGTTTTTGATGGTTTTTAATTTCGTTTAGGTCTTTGTGTCTTGGACATTTTAGTTTAAAGACAGTATTTGTGTATATGTGAAATGACTCGTCTTGTTCATGTGCAGTTTGTTTGGTTGCAGTTGTGAAAAATGAGATATTCTTATACTGTTGATATTTAAATGAAACCTTTGACAGAATCTACTGTCAGTGTATTCAATGGGTACACAAAGTGGGAGCTCTTTCCTGGTGGAGTTTTTATTATTGGCTAAACTAGGTCCACAGTATTCTATGAATGCTTCCCAGAAGTGGACAATGCAGTGACAGGGTGCTTGTGTGTCAACCATACAAACATGGGTGGATCGTTGCTCATGTGACGACCACTGGTTTGCCAGACTCAGGTGATTTACAGGCAGTGAGACCCTGGTGAGATACCTGATGGTGACAGTGCATATTACAACATCCACTTGCACACTCCATAGTAATCCATGTGGCTGCTGCTAAACGGTGTGTGAACTTCCCAGGGATTATTGTACACCTGCTCAGAGGCCAATATTCTGCCCCAATCTGCAGCAAATGTCATTAAAAATTCCAAATTGAGTTTAAAACTTCCAATTCATGTAAAAACTAACTAATTTTATAGCATTTTTGA